AAAAAAAAAAAAAAAAAAAAAAGAATTCTCAAACAGGTGTCTCCGAACAAATATCTCAGCTTATGGCAGTTCAAGTTACAATTTTTCAGTTTTATGATGGTGCAACAGAGACTGCATCCACGAGAGCTGTCCCTGTCTCTTTCTGGGCCAGTGGCGCATGGGACACTCCTCTTTCTTGAGGTGGGACAGTGAGGAGAACCACAGCCCCAGTCAGCACCTGATCACGTGGGAAGCAGCCCCCAAGTCCCAGTGTACTGAGACCTGACACCAGAATGTCTGGTAGGTTCAGTGTGCCGACACAGTCTTGACTGAGATACAGCCCCATCATTAGTCAAGCAGCATTTGTACTTTCTCTTAAGATCAAATGATTAAATAAAATTTCCAATCTAATAAAATACAATCAAGTCTGCTATAACGGTTTTTTAATTAAAAATTTTTAAATAATGCCTGTTTTGAGAATGCAGATTTATTCTAAAGCCATGGATATAATGAGAGACAACTGGGCCATAATGACACTTTGCCTCTGATTTTGTTTGGAAGTAATACTAGGTGGGTGCAGAAAGCTGTACCTGGCTGAACCAACCACGGGGAGTCTGAGGGGCGAGCGTCTCAAACAGCCACCACCCACCTCAGGTCGCCATGGCTGTGAAGGCCACACCCACCCACACCCGTGTTACAGCTTGCAACCCTCCCCCTGCCCACTTCATTGGCAAATGCCAGTTCTTTTCAAGATAAACTATCATTTTACTCTAGTCTTCATGTGCTTTCTTACCACTTGACATGTAAGACTATTTTCCTCAGGTTCCTGTCTTCCTGTGTTGTCACCAATGAAGTTGGAGTGTTGTGCCCTAACCCATTTTCCCATAGGCCTTATGTGGTTTTTATTGCACAATTTTGCATAATGCAGTAATTTTTAAGGAACAAATGTTGTGTTATAGCAGAACTGACTGTAACTTCAGGCTTGTCCTTTCAACTTTTCATTCTCATGACAGTTTCCAGGGTGTGTGTGTGTAACTAAAACTGAGGCTGAAAAGCGCCAGCTTAGATCCCTGTCATGCCGCTGAATTAAGCTGTTCCATCACATCAAGAACCGGTAACTTACTCTGTGAACAGGACAGCATCTCACAGGATTTCTTCTCACAGGACGGAAAAGAACCAAATTTTATTACAGCTGAGTTGGACTCCCCACATCTTTTCCTGGTTTTTTGTAAGATTTTTAAACTGAACTTGCAGCTGTTAAAGTGTATTCCAAGACCAAAAGAGAACTGGGTAGCTCCTGGGCACAGCGAGGGACCCCAGGGCAGGAGGACAGAGTGGTGGCCAGATGCTAAGCATGACTGCAGTGCAGTTCGCTGAGGAGTTGTTTTCAAAGCACTGCTCTCTCTAGGAGCTGGCAGTGTCCCAGAAACAGCACACTCTGTTCCTGAATGAGGAGGTCCTGTGAATGGCTCCATCCAGGGAGACACAGGCAGGCAGACCGACTCAGACCAATACAGACACCAGCGCTCAGAGCAGAGCCAGGGCAGACACAGTGACTGTAGGGGGGCAGATAAACAGACACAGGGAGGAGGAAGGAAAGAGAGGAAGAGGGAAAGGGAAAGAAGGGGCAGGGAGGGGAGTGAAGGTCAGGGGGAGATGCCTCTAGCCATCTTCCCTTCCTGTCTGAAAGGCAAGGTCTGGATGAGAGGCAGGGGGAGGAAGGAGCCTCTATAGATCTTCCAAAATGGAAAGCAACTAAGAATAATGACTGTGCTTATAAATCTAAATTCATGCTGAGATTAAGAAAAAAAATCAAGTCTTAGACATAGACACAAACCAGGAGAAGCGCAAAGCAAAATTTTTATGTCCTAAATACTGCTTTGAAAAGAACTAAAAGTATTTTAGCGTACAAAAGTGTTAAAACTGAGACACTAACCTAAAAATTAGTCAAAGCA